ATATGCAACTATGATAACACTGCTTTTTTATGCTAAATGTGAAAGATGAGAAAGAAATTTGAACAGTATGTATTGCAGTAGTCATTAATACTGGCTTTTATTTAAATATTTAACTAGATTTTGGGCAAAATATAGAAAGAGGTTATAGTAATTTAACTACTGTCACAGGATAATTAAAAAATAGATTAGCACTTGAGCTCTGCAGTGGCCTTGGTAGTGTGTGAGAATGGAAAAAAAAATCCCTTACTGAATAGCGTACAAAACACTGGTTATAAAGTCCGTTATTGTTAAATGTTGATGCTTGAAAGGCCTCTTCTTTGTGAATGTGAGTGTGGCAAATTGCAGGAAAAATGCTGAATTCTCTTATATAGTTGGTGGGCTGTGAAGAAATCTTGCTAGTAATACATATGTTTTGGGTTTTAAACAGAAATTTTTTAATGTTAATTTTAAAAAATAGATTATTTCAGTTTTGGTAAATTTCACCCCGCATGAATGTAATTCTTTTTTGTTTTAGAATATTTCTGTAATTTAAAAAAAAATCTTTAAATAGTTACATGATAAAATTTGTCAGCTTTGTTGCTGGGGATTTTTATTTCTTAAATGCATTTGAAAATTAAATATTCCTTATTGTTGTGAGCAAAACCTTGAAGGCTTGGTATTTCACGGATTATTTCAAATGGCAAAAGAATATCAACCTTGTAAAACCCTATTCCGTCTAAATACTACTTGAAATTTAACTCTTATTTATGATAGATAATGCACCAGTCTAAATGGATAAGCAGAGTTGCACTGTCAGGGAAAAAGTGTTTTAAACATTTAAAGTGGCATTTTAGCCAAGCCATAGATTCTCCTGTGATATAAATCTGTTAGGATGCAGCGTTATTTCTCATTTCTTAGGAAGGTGATTTGTGGCTAAGTTTTTTTTTTTTCCTTTAAAACATCAATTCTAAGTTTTATCCATCAGTCGCATATAATGTACTCACATAATTTTCCTGCTTTTCTATAAAAATTGAGAGTAGTTATTGAGTCCACATTAGAGCCAAATTGCAGTAATACATATGACTTCATGTATTACAGCTCTGCCACATGAAAGATGTCTTTTCCTCCAAAGACTTTTATAAATTCTTGGATTGTTTATAAGCATTTTTCTGTGTCACACTCCACCTAAATCCCATTTGCCCATTCAATATTTTCCTTGCTCGAGTGCTTTGCTCTGCTCTCTGGGGTCTGTGGTGCTGCTGTCGTTCTCTGCCGGCATTGTCTGGTTGCTAATTGCCTGTCACGGAGCTCAGGGATCCCTGCAGCCCCCAGGGTGGCTCAGGGGTGATAATTCAATCCCAGGGGAGCTGCTGGCTGTCCCAGCTGGGATCTCAGCTGCCCTGCTCCGGCAGCATCACCCAGCCCAGCTCTGGGATCTGGGGCTGCTCAGCTTCGCTGCTTTGTGTCTGGTGCATGACAGATTCAGCATTTCACCCAAACGCTTCAGCCCAAATCAAAGTTAGCTCTCTGTGCAACCCAGCAAAATTTGGAAGTGTCACACAGCTCAGTTACTGTGGATTCATTCATCCTTCAGCAGCTCAGTGTTTCTCTGTGAGGGATGTTTTTTGGTCAGAGGCAGTCAAATCACTTGGTAGCTTTAGATCACGTCTGTGCCCAGTGCTGTATTCCTTCAAAAGGCAGTGTGAATGCAGGTATGAAAAGTGATTTTGTCCATGTGTTTTTAAAATTGCCTCTTAAATGTGAGTTTGTGTTGTCTGACCTTTTAGCACCAGCATGTTGCACCACTATGTGCGTAAAAACCCGTTTGCAATCTCAAGGAAAAGATTTTCTAGAAAGGCTATGAGTGCTGACAAACAGAGGTGCCATTTAAAGCTGAACCAAGGCTTCTGCAGCCCAAGACCATTTTTAAAAATTCCCCTGTAAGCCTGGAGCAGGTGAGGTGTGTCTCAGGAAGCTGACCTGTGCTCTCTGTGCCTGAGTGCTCTGTTCAGGATGCAGCAATGGGGAGATGGGAGTGGTGTCACAATGTTCCTCAGGGAAATGCAGGTTCCACCTGTTCTGAAATATTGGGCTTTTTTCCCTCTTTTTTTTTTAAGTTGAAATTTTACCTTCTCTGCATATGTAATTTTATTCAAGTAAGATGTTCTCAACAAATGTTAGGGATGTCTCTTTGGCCCCTGGAGGAGCTGCATGCACAGCCTGCCCACACTGAGTGTGTGAGCTGGCTGCTAGTCCACATCACAGGGGTTTGTTTTGTCTTCATAAGAATAAAAAGATATGCTGGACACCTTGGCTTTCTATAAGCCTTCCCTTAAACTTTCCCCAAAACTTTAAACTTATCACTTTGTTGTGCAAGGAGGACATTTAGGTCTAAACTCTCAGATTTCTAGTCTTGACTGAATGGCTCACCAGGGTGCTGTACAGATGCACAGAAATAGGATTTCCATCTTTACACACAGAGAAATAAATAGGGAGGCAGAGGGTCTTAAAACCTAATTTTAAGGCAACTAGCAGTTCTTTTCCTTTTGAGAAGAAATTCTCATGTTTCAATGCAGATGCAAATGTGTTGGGGTGATAGATACCAGGAGACACGAGCTCTGTGACAAAGGAGCATTAAACATGTTAGTTTCAGCCCCGAGACTGTGAAGAATTGGTTATGGGCCAGAGATTCAGGGTGTATCACTAATGAATATGTTCCCTATTTACTGATAGCCCTGCTAAGTGTGTGTCTTGTGAGCATTGAGAGGTTTCCCTTGCTGTGATCCCGAGCATCGATCACACAGACTAAACCTGGCTGTTGGCAGTGGCATGACTGGACCTGTGGAAATATGATTAAAATGGTCATTATGCTTTTTCAACAAAAATCAATCTATGAGAGCAGCAGTTTTTTAAAAAATACAATACCCACCAAGGAATCCCTTTAATCACAAGGCTTTGAGAGTAGCATACTGTGGGTTTATTTGCTTATTTTAGTGCATTTGGCAGAAAAATCAATATCATAGTATAACTCCAATAAAAATTGTGCAATATCTAGTACTTTCCGTAGAAGGAGAGGGAGAGGTGATTCTCAAGTTGAGGCTCCATTCTCCTCATCGTGTTAATATCTGGCAAACTTCTGCTTAATAAAGCTAAGTGTAAAATACTTAATCATGCAGACAGCACTGTATTTAACTCATTTGAAGTTTATTCCTCTCCAAAATGCACCATCCCTTCTGTTGGAGCCACGAATTTTTGTCAATTAAACAGGGATATCAGGACAAGTCTTCTCAGCAGTCAGAAATAGAGAGGTTTTAGGATCTTTCACAGATGGTCAGAGAAACAGAGAGAACATAAATATGTATGTATACATTTTTCCAGATCTGTATATATGCTGTGCATGAACTCCTACACACAGAAAAATCCCTTTTGGAGGATTGTACATCCCACTGTCTGCCAGTATTGGAGACTTTGCTGAAGTTTTGCCAAATTCACAAAGTTCTCCCAAGTTAGCAAATGCTATGAGAAACCTTAGTTGGGGCTTTATGGTTCCTAAGGTTTTTAGTAGACCTTAGAGTGTGAGTGGGTTTTCCTGTACTTTAACTCATAAAAAATACAATGTTCATTTGTACAAACTGCATCACAAAGGGTGAGTGTCCCATGGTTCTCAAAGATGTACATGTCCAGGATGCTCAATGTTAGCAGATCAAACTCAGTTTTAGAGGGGTTCATAAGGACTGTATTTGCTCTATTTCTGCTTTATTGTTGTATAATAAGAAAATAGCTGCAAATGTCTGTTTAGGCCAAAAATTAGATACAGCAAATAATTGGAAAGTAGTTGGTCAAACTATACAACCTTACTATACGTGGGTGTAATATATTCCCTATAGTTGTATATATATATATATTTCATAAAAATCAGAAACTACAGTGTAATCTTTGTATCTTTATTCAAGATACTTTACCCACATAGTACAAAAGGTCTCTGCCTCATCGAATCCAAAGTTTGTGCTGTGCAAAGGGCAGTAACAGATAGTCAGGAGCTTGCATCTATTTTTTCATGAAATGCAGATATTTTACTTGCATGTGACTGGATATGTAATTTTATTTCTTTAAGTGTAAAATTTAAGGGATCAGATGTCAGAAAATGTAATCACTGAATTTTAAATTGCAACTTTAATTCTTTTAAGCAGAGGAGACAGATGTAGCTGTCTTGCTGCATCCACATGTATTGCAAAATACATTTAAATCATGCACATACAGGGAGACAAATGAGAGAACTCCGCCACCCAAATATTAAATTACATGTTTTGAAGCAAAATAGTGTTTTAAGTGTACATGTGTATAATGCTTTTTGTCACTGGATTGCTCTCCCTGATGCAGTTAGACAGAATCTGTATTTAGTCAGAAATCTTTCAATAGAAAGGGCTACCAGATGGGACCAGTAACAATGCAGAGAGGCATCGAACCACCACAGACATTTGGTGCTTAGAATAATAAAAAGACTATAAAATTAGATTAGTTGAGTCTAATTTGGAATTGGTATATTCCCTATGCACTCTCACAGCTCTTGGGTAGATAAAGCCTGAAGATTTAGTATTGTCAGGACAGAGGACTCCAACTTCCAGTAAAAGAAAAAACGGCATTCTGTGAGGTCACGGAGGGCAGCCCAGTGACCTCCAATGATTTACAGGCCTTTAGCTTAATGAAATTGTTTCAGTGACATGACGGTAAAAGCTCATAATGGATTGGATGCCCTAATGTAATGAAATTACTCCCTTCTGCCTTAAAAAAAAAAAAAAAAAAAAAAAAAGGAAAAAAAAAAAAAGGCGCAATTAATATTTACTGAGACCTGACAGGCTTCAGTGTGCGGGAGCGTGCAGCGCTGTCAGACAGCCTGAGCAGCCCCGAGCAGCGTGGCAGCTGAGCAGGCGCTGCGAGGGGGTGGAGGGACACCTCGCTGACAGGGAAGCCCCAACCTGGCGCTCCGAGCCAGCCTTCATCCTCTCCCTTCCTTTCTGCAGGCAACTGGACAACAACCAGATCAGCTGCATCGAAGATGGAGCCTTCCGAGCGCTGCGCGACCTGGAGATCCTGTGAGTGGACTTGGTGCCGGGGCGGTGGGGGGGTGCCTGTCCCCACCGCGCTGTGTGCTGCAGTGCTGCCGGGGCTGGGGGCTCTGCAGCCCCGCTGCCCGCCTCAGCAGGTGCAGGCTCAGCCTCCCCCGGGCCGGCAGTGCTGCTAATTAAACCACAATAGGCGCCGGGTGCGCTCCGAGGAGCGCGGAGATCGCAGCGCTGGCTGCCGCCTGGAGCAGATGGGTTCAGCAGCGTTCCCGGCGTGTCCGGTGTGTGGTCTGCAGCCAGAATCCTGCCCTGATGGCGAGCACAGCGTGGGGAGCAGGTTCATGGGGAGCAATATTACGAGATAGGTGACCGCTGCCCTAGACAAAAGCTGTTTCAAAGGTGTTTGGTGTGTAAGAGGGAGGAGAGACGGGCGCTTGGCAGGCTTGTTCAGTGCAGTCATTGGCTTTTGGGGAGGATCCTTCTCTGAGGGCTGAAATAACACCACGTTGTGCTCTTCATGTACCACAAACTTTACACAGAGGCTGTTAAAGCTGCAGCACAGACTGAATAAAAGCTTTTGACAGTGAAAGCTGACTCTACCAGAGACGCAGCACATTAGATTTAGAGCGCTGTCATTGTAATGTAAATCCAATATTATCCTGAACTTGGTATCTGTGCAGATAATTCGCTTATTACTAATTGTAACTTGTTCACTTAAAGACCTTTTCTAGAATAGGTTTTCACAATATGAACTGCTGTAAAGCTTTCCCCCTGTCACCCCAAAGTTAATCCTGCAAAGCCGAGTGTCAGTACTCGTGAAAGCACATAATTCTGAGCTGAAATGGAGGGGGACGGGAAGGACACGCGACCTCTCCAAAATTCAAACCCTCCCCATCCACCGTGAGTTAATGGGAGAGCAGCCCTGACCCAGTGCACACCTTCCTACAGCAGGGGAGGCCTGCCTGGCTGCTGCAGAGCTTGCCCTTAAATTACATGGGATGAAACAGCAAATGGCAGGCGCATCAATGAAATAAGCACCTGCCTCAGACACTGCTGGCACCTGGAGACTCAGCAGAGTCACGACGTGTCCCGAGAGGAGGCAGGGCTGGGTGGGCAGCCCTGTGCCACTCCATGGGGTCTGAACGCCCTGGTGATGCACAGGGCTGTTCCCAAGGGCTGTGTCCAGCTCGGGCTGATGCTCCAAGGAGCTCTGCCCTCTGTGCCAGCACAGGCTCAGCTGTCTGAGGGACCTGGTGGTGGCCGTGTCTGTCACGGCCCCTCTGTCCCCCAGGCTGGGACCCTGATGTGGATCACATAGTATGTGTTGTTCATGTTGAGCTAGAAGAAGGTTTCTGCAGAGTTTCTTACCTGGCAACTTATGTTATCAACAGTATTGTTTGAATTCTATCGCAATAGCACTTTTCAGGAAAAGTAATGTGTTACCACTACAAAATTTTACCTGTCTGTCAGATTGAAAAGTCTACTGTGTGGTGAAAGAAAGGAAGACAGGAAAAAAAAGAACTCCTCTAAAATTGGCTTTTTTATTTTTTTTTCCTTTTGATGGACTGATTGTCTGTATCTGCAGAGAGTGAATCAGTCCTCCTCTGACAGCAGACTGTGCTATAACTTTCACTAAATAGGCTGGACAATAAATGGAGCCCTTTTTTGCAATATACTGAGTTCTGCAGGCTCTGCAGAAGTTGCTAGGAATGCATTCCTTCTCCCCACGTTGTAGTAAATGCTGAATTAGTTTATTTACCTCTCTGTTTTCAATTGGTTGCTTCTACGCCAGTTATTTATGGATGGGAAAAGATGAGGCAATGAGAATATATAAAATAGATCATAATCAGTTATTTAGTGCATTTTTAATTTTCAGCACAGATACACTGCTACGGGAAAAATAATATTAATTATAAAAGATGAGAAAACACATTGATAATATCTATTTCTAAGCTTATTTTTCTTGCAGTCACAAAATGTGTGTTTTATACTTCCAATATTATCTGAATTTTTTCCCATGTTTATCTTCAAAGAAAGTCTGAGAATTTATTCTGCCAAAATAAATTTGCTAAATGCCCCAGAGAATATAATATCTTTAGTTGTAAAACAGTCATAAATGTTAAAATTTAAAACAATCTGAACCATCAAAGAATGTTAACAAATGAAACTAAATTTCAACCTTTCAGACCCACTGTGTATTTTATGCAGATATATTTTAACATATAATGCGGTATGTAGAAAATATTCAATGATTCTTGCAAAAATAAATCCAATTATCTGTTTGAACAGTTTGCCAGAGTGCCAAATAATGTTTCTCCTTTATCTTAGTGAAATCTTGTGATTTTTTGATAATCAGTGTTTCCATTCCTGTACTTTTCTCCTCAAACACAGCCTGTCTACAGAATTCTAAATTTTGTCTATAACTCAGGGCAGAGCCGTGCTCAAAAAACAAACTAAGAATACTTTCTTTAGAAACACTTTGGTTTCTGGATTGCACGTTTCATTCACCTTGAGCTCCTCAAAAAAACATGACTTCAAGGAGCTTGGTGATTCAGTAGCCCTTCAGTAGAAAGAAAGGAATTTTTGTGCAGTTATCCTTCAAAACACAGAGCACACCATGACCCGTGTGACTTATTTCTTCTCACCAACAAGTTGTTTTCATTACTAGTCTCATTTTCTTGTTTTGCGTTATAAACATCTTCCCGTACCAGCTAACAGCACAGAGGCAGAGATGAAAACAAGGCTGAAATTTGTGCCCAAGATGAGAAATTGGCGAGGTGAGGGAGCTGGGAACTCCATCTGCAGCTGGGGCGCGGAACGCGGCCACCAACGCCTTCGCGCTCTCGGTCGCCTCTGTGCTGAGGAGCCTCTGTGTCCCCATGGCACAAAAAGTGCCACTGGATTTATGGCCTCACCCACCTAGACCCCAAAGCAGGCGCTGAGTACTACTGCTGACGCTGAGTTTTGGGTTAAAAGATGCAAAAATGTTGAGTATAAAGCGCTTTGGTGACTTCTCTTGATTGTTTTTGCCTGTGCGGCAAGTTGAAAATAATGTCTGAGTAATGACCTGCAGAACTGATGGACTTAAACATCCTGTCCTGGTAGTTCTGCGATGGGGCTGGCTTTTTCATTCTCTCTCAGATTTTCTGAACAGATTCTCATGAAGGATTTGATTTTTATCTGTTGATAAAATTGGAAATATTTCTTTGTTGACATAATTCCTGTGTCCCCCTTTTTATAAAACATATTTCAATGGGTTTGGTCTTGCATTCCAAGATGCAGAAAAGTGTGTGCAACAGCTGAAACAGCGATAAAATGGAAAATGGGCATGTGTCCCTAAATGAGTGGCAAAAGGAGCTAACTGTCTTATGACTTGTTAGCATCGAAATGCACGGAAAAGTTGAAGAAATTGGTAGGAAACCTTTGCTAATTAAAGATTTTTTAGTAGGAGAAGGTCTCTGCTCTGCTTAATTTTTACTTATGTCCTGTGGCAATACCTGGCAATAACAGTATTATTGAGAAATATCTTTTACTGTAGCTGAAAGTACGATTCAAGGTTATTAAAAAAACCTCAAGACCAAACCAAAAACCCAGTGTAGTCTTCAAAATGATCAGCCACTATTTCTCGTGGTGTGACAAGGTGCTGTCCATATACTTTGTAGGTTAGAAATCAGTCCATGGTTTTATTTCCAAATGCCCAAAATTATTAAGGATATGAGATAAAACGTTCCTAGGGTTCAGAATTTCACCTCCAGTCTCTTAGGGGACATGAATAAAAGAAATTGATTTCAAGATGGTTCAACAAGCTCAAACTGGATAACTGGTAATATTGGGTGCCTGAGCACACTATTGTCATTAAACTGGGAGGGCTGAAGCATTTTTCTCAGTAAGAGACAGAACTCAGTTTAGTAAAAAGCCCATTAATTTATTTGTCATTGTTTTGTCTCTCTGGGATAACGGCAAAACTGTGTGGTGGCATGGGAGTTGTACTGTGTGGACAGCCCAGAAAGAATTACAAGTCACTGTTGACAACTTAGGTGGAGTGTTTCCTTTTTTTTATTATATTGTAAAAGCTGTTTTTCTCCTTTCTGCTTTATAATGATAGCCAGAGGGTCCAGAGCTTGGACACATTCTGTTTGTTGCATAAGATTTTACCATGGCAAGAGCTAATCCTAGGAGGTCTGTTAAAGAAGGCAAATGGGTTCTTGCTGTACAGAGCTAGTACAGAAAGATTTGGGGGTTTGTTTCTTGTTAGCCACATTAATTGTAGGTCTTTCATATCATATGGCTGAGTTTAAAATCCTGCCTCCTGAGTTTCACCTGCTTTTGGAATGAATGAGCACTGACTGCCGTTGAGCCAGTAGCTGCACGCGCTCAGGGATCCACCAGTCCACTTTGGGTCCCGTAGTGTGAAAAATTATGCAAATTCATCCACAAGTAATGATGAAAAAGTGCAAGTATAGTCATCCAGATATTTGTGACTTCAGTTCCAAATGGGCCCTAAATGTATTATATTAAAAAGATAATTTCTTCCGATCACAAAATGTAATGAAGGTAAATAAACCTTCACCACCTTTCCTTTCCTAATATCTAAAAGTAATGAGAGAAATTTAAATCCTTCTGTCTTGCATGCAGAACATTTTCTCTCCAAATATTTCTGCCACACTCTTCTTCCTGCTCCATGGCAAACCCACAGAGCCACAGAGCTGTAAGGGCTGTGCCGATGTTTTTGAGCTCCAGTTCAGCCCCAAGCCATGTTGGGTGGGACACAGCCGGTCTGTCACACCAGCCTGGCCTGCAGCCCCAGCTCTGAGCTTTGTCTGCCACATCCAGGCTTTGCAAGCATTTGACCAGTGGGTAAAAACTGGGATTATTCCTGCCATCCTTATTTGGGTTCAATATATTCCTGTTGTAAACAATTCTTTGATAAAAGGTTTAGTCTGTGCAAGTTCTAATAGAGATGTCGTGTGAGTGTGATTATAATGCACACTGCCTTTTGTCATGCCAAACTTTTAAGAACTTTTCTGAAC